CATCATCATCATCATCATCATCATCATCCAGTGCCAGATCTGCGACAGACATCGGCGATCATGGTTTTCCATTCATTCCTTTGCTCGGATGTTCTCAAAAAAGCTACGTTTCCCTGATCTTTCACTGTTACCCATATTTTGTTTAGATTCCCTAAGTACGTTGTTCTGGGCCTACCCCGCCTCGCTTGCCCTCAATTTTGCCAGTGAGAGCTAGATGTTCAAGACCCTTCTCTATTCAGGTGTCCCAAACACTGCATTTGTCGTTTCCTGATTGTTTTGAACATTGAGCGTCCCACGTGGGCTTCATCAAGCACTACCTCATTTGATTTCTTTTCCTTCCACGATACTCTTAGCAGTCTCCTAAGAAACCACATTTCTGTTGCTTATGTTTTATTTTCACTGTCTTTAGCGGTTGTCCAGCATTCACAGCCATTAGAAGGGTTGACCAAACATGGAATTTCAGGATTTTCATTTTGGTGTTCATTGAGATGTTTATTTTTTTCAGGATTGGGCTCATTTGATTGAAACTAGAGCCTTAGCCATTGTAATTTTCCTTTTTTATTTCTGTGGAACATTTGGCGTTAGATGTTATCATATAGCCTAGATATTTAAACTGTTGGACTAGTTTGATCTTTTCACCTTTGCTAATGAGATTACAACTAGGACTTGCTGCTTTTTTATATTACCATGCATTCTGTTTTCTTTACATTCAATAATCATCCTTTACGTTCATTTTCTGTTACAGCAGTATCTAGAAGCAATTGAAGGTCCTTTTCGGAGCCTGCTATTAAAACTGTGTCATCTGCATACCTGATGTCATTAATATTTTCTCCATTTACTTTGAGGCCTGGACATTCTTCTATGTTTCTAAGGATTGTTTCATTGTACATGTTAAAGAGGTCTGGTGATATAACACATCCTTGCCTCACTCCTCGCCTAATCTGCTTATATTCACGGTATTCTCCAAAATATATACTTACTTAATTTAAGTAAGCAATCTTACCCTTCGCCATCCTTTGGGAATCGAAAGAAATTCAGATTTGGATTTTTGTTTCTGGAATTGGTACAATTTATAGCAGAACACCATTGGCCTTTCACTCTAACTCAAACTGGACCCAAGCTTGTCAGTAGTGTCAGTGATCAACGAAAATGCCTTGAACAATGGACGCAGTTTGTTTTATTTATTTGTGTTATTATAATAAGAATGAATGATTCCTGTCATTTTTTCCCTGCGTCTGTTCACATGCTGACCCGGTGCAATACAGTCATTAGTGTATACACACACATACACACACATACATATATAATATATATATATATATATAGATAGATAGATAGATAGATAGATAGATAGATAGATAGATAGATAGATAGATAAATGTCTACGTTCTCTAACGTTAGAGGACGTATACAAGCTGTCTACGTTCTCTAATACTCAGTGCTTCCAAGCGTGGCATGAAATCCCGGTCCCGGAAACGTTGGCGTTTTTGGGGTTTTTTGGTTGTTTTTCCCCCCTCTCCTTCACCTTACTGACCAAAAATTTGTCCCCGGACTCCCAACCAGGGGGAATAATAATTGGCAGGAGGAACAATTCGCAGGGGTCTGGGGGCCGCAGGAAGGCCCTGGAAAAAGAAAATTTGCAATTGAAGAGCTAAGATTTGGCCTCTCTGATTCTAAAATGAATTTGAAAAAATAGACTCACAGACCAAGGAAAGCCACTGTTGAAAATGTACTTTAACCAGGCATAAATTGGTAAAAGGAAAAGTAGGCCTATACTTAGCAGATAAAAGCTCCTCTTGGGGACAAAAATAGAATGTGCATGCTTAACCACTACATAAGAAATGTCAAAGCAACAAATTATAATTAAGGAGAAAATTGTTGGTCAGTCGGGAGAAGGAAGAGAAGAAGAAAAAAAATTTGGGACCGGGATTCGAACCCACACTCATACACTTCAAGCGCAGACATGCTGACCATTCGGCTATCAGAACATCCGATGACCAGAGGTAGATTAAGCTTAGTAGGGGCCTATCTGTTTCAGGAAAGGCAACAACATAGAACTAGATGTAGACATCTAGTTTTCTACTTCTACAACAAAGAAAGTGAGAAAGTCGGAAACATGGGGATTTGGGGGGGGTATCAATAAAGGCGGCGGGTATCCGATCGGCAGAGATAAGGTCTGGAGGAATGGAGGAAACTTTTAACTTTAAAAAAATGGAGGAAAAATGGAAGCGCTGAACGTTAGAGAACGTAGACAGCTTGTATACATTCTCTAACGTTAGAGAACGTAGACACTTCCATACATATACATGTATTTTGACCAGTCCCATCTTCCTAATCCCACCATTTGTGTTCCATCTCCAGTGTCCCATCTCTCACCTCTTGTTTCCCACGTACCGAATCCAATTTTCCACGTCCCATATCCTGACTTTAAGTCTGTAAGCGCGCATCGTTTTCCTTCATCTCATGGGATGGAACACTTGAAGCAGGCCAAAATATTATATTCACTGTCGTTAATGTCGTAATCAGATTTTCTGTTCAAGCACATGTTTTCAACAGCTTAATTTAATACTGTTTTATTCGGAATCAAGTTTTGATCTATTATATATCTAAACAAAAAGACTTTGAAAGAAATGAAAGAAGGGAAAAGTGTGTGTGTGGTTTGGGTGGTGGGTGGTGGTTAAACTGCTATTTAAAAAGGAACAAAGACACAAAAAAGATCTACAAAAACTCATTGCAAACACTAGAACCGCGCGATTGGCGTATCTAGAGTGAAAAGTATAAACCTTTCCGTTTTTACCACTTTACTTACAAAATTGAAACAATCCAGATGACGGTGTTTCCATGAGAACCGAAGATTGCGATCAGTGAAATCAGGAGAAACACTTACCTTCGCTCAGCCCAGTTTCAATGCTAGTATAATCGATCGGCGAATAAATCAAATAAATCTTATATGGAACTACCTCACTACTTGGAGAAAAAAAACCCAAACAAAAGACCCAGGTCATAGAGCTTATAGAACGAGTACAACACTAATAAGAAGTTAACCTTCGTTTATCGCCCGGAACATCTGCTGCAAAGATAGACTCTGCCTGTGACCTTCAGTAGGCCTACTCTAATCGAAATGGTCGCTAGTCATCATGAGGTGAGTCAGGACTGTCTGTTGCTGTCATCGATTATGGATTAGCCATTCCGAGCACGGGAGGAAGAAGGAAAGGTAAATTGCTAATTGTCTGAAGGCAAGAAAGTGCTTGCTCGAATCTATCACCACTGTCTATGAAAGCTTCTGTTGGTGAAAGTTGCACCAATTTTCTCTTGTTTTGATTACTCTGACAGATGTAGTACTAAGGAAAAGAATATTTAAAAAATATTATTCTATTTCTTTGTTTGGTTTAGTTTATTTGTCGTCTTGTTTTGGGGAATTTTGTTGGAAAAAGCTGGATGTTTTAGCCAAATCTTCTGACGAAACGAAATAGTGAAAAAAAATGTTTCTCTAAAGCTCTTTCGACTACACGTATTCGTACACACACACAGATGCACACACAAGCACACACTCACAAACAAACATACACACACACACACACACACACACACACACACACACACACACATACACACACACTCACACAAACAAACACACAGGGTCACGGTTCTTTAAATCCTTACACTGCATAATTTGACATGTGCGATTTTTATTTACTTAAAGTTCTTACAGCAGCTCACCACTCGCAGCCTCACTTAGTTTGCCTTTATGTGCAATCTTCTAATAGATCTAACCATATTTCGTAGCAAAATAATAATATATAGATTTACCGTCAAACTAAATAACAGCATGTTATTAAGAAAAAACTAACCTGCTGCAAAGACATCTGTTTTCACTTCGCTGATAGACAAAAAAGAAGCGTTTCTGTTTTGACAGCGAGAAAACATTGATTTCAAGCTCAAAGAATGTTTCGCCAATTATTATAACAAAACAAAAAAAGTATCAACGTTTACAATGTCTCGATCGTTGTGCGCGTGCATATATGCATAGATCTATATAACATCATCCAGAATGGTGAGGAGGCTTGTCGGAATCACATCAGCCGTAGTGTTGATTCACGATGTACAATCTAGGCCTACTGGGTAGATGACAAAGATCTCAGAGGCAGAGGTGCTCTAAGCCTATAGTAAGATCGATGGATACGTGGGTTGTGGGTAAGCAAGAATAATTCATGCGTCTGGGGAGCAACGTGGGAGTAGTACATGTAGTTAGGAATCGTGATCAAAATAGTTTGTTCTTTTATGTTCACACACACACACACTCACACACGCACACACACACACACACACACACACACACACAA